ATGTCGGAACGAACCCTACTAGCTATAATATTTGCCGAATTATAGTCGTCAGCTATGGACCAACCATCATCTAAAAATACCGCGATGTAAATACCGTTAGCCCTCCACCATCCAACCAAAGGGCGGAGTATCTTTGTAAAGATATAAGGAGCTACAGAAAGGCCAAAAGGAAGAACTGTGAAAACGTAAAACCGCGTCTCCCCTTGAAAATCCCATGAAAAACCTAAGAATGTTTGATGTGGTTGGAAGATCTCGACGTGGTGATAGCCACTCTTAAGATCAAAAGAAAACATATAACCATTCTTGCGAAACATAAGAGAAGCAATTTTCCAATCATCGTACTTAATCCTCAGTTTCTTAATGAAATGATTAACATATCTTAAATCAAGAATTAACCTTTTCTTTCCATTAGGCTGAACGGAAACCGACAATGGATTGACGACATGGGGTTTGTAAGACAATTGCTTTATGCGTTCGGACTCCAGTAGCTCAGTGATAGAATTCTCTACGAAATCAATATTTTTCAGGGCAGAAGCGTTGTTCTTTGAATAATATGCAGGCGGCACATCCCAGAAAGGCAAACGATAACCAAATTTAATTACGTTTAATATGAAGGATGAAGCACCTAAAAATACCCAAAATTCTAAATTTTTCTTTAAATTGCCCTTTACATTGTAATTCCGTCCTAGATCTTCGTCAATTTCAAAACGATTCAGTACCTGAAGTACATCCGTAAACTTGTCGAATTCCTCATGAATGTCCGATTCCCTTAAGTCCGGTTCCTGAAGCGTTTGTGGTGGTGGAGGCTGGGGCAAAGGCGGTTGGCTTGTACTGGCCGAAAGGGCGGGGATAGAAGCTGGAGGCCCTGCAATCTTTGGCCCAGTGACCTGGCCTTCCGCACCTGAAGCAATCCCCATGTGCATAAGAGCTTGGACGGCCTGCGGGTGTCAAGATGGGACGAAAATATGAATAGTTAAGTAACGACAAATAACAACCAAAGAGCAAAACTTGGTCATTAACACAAAAGAAAAGGAGGGGCGGGTGGGCGGGAAAGCAGAATACAGCAAAGCTATATTGGTGACGCGAGAAGTGAAATAAGCATACGGCTACTGGACTATATAGCAGTACATGCTATGACACCTTACTCCCATGTGGTACAGAAATCATGCATACTTGACAGGTATTACGTAACAGTAATGCACACGAAGGTGAGATAGAAAAACAAAGTGTGAACACTGACGTTCCGTAATAAACTCCTATAGAAAATACATTTTTGTATCATAAAAGAATCTACAGTTAAGCATATAAGGTGGGAAAATACTTAACGTGACAGAACATGTGATTACTAAGAAAATATGTTAATCAGTTTTGCTCTAATTGAGTATTGACTAATGGCTTAAGATGTCTGATATATGACTTTCATATGTCAGGCAGTCAAGATTGCTCCTGCATTTCTTTATGATGGAAAAATGGTGTTTGAGTTTCATTGGCTCCATATTGTGTTGAAATAGATGCTCGTGAGGGTAGCCGATATACTGCTCGATATATGAGATGACACAGCCACCAAGTATTTGCAATGTAAAATAAGCCTCTCCGCTTCAAAGGCATGTTTGTGACACGAAACCACCCTTCAGCCATGGGCTGAGGTGTGACAAGGCACAAGCCTGACTACCAATCCTGCAATGCAGGATATCAACCACGGTGCTCAAGACAAGCCCCTACCAGCCTCAGATAAAAATTCCAGCTAAAGATCACTTCATTAAGAAATGTGTCCACTCCACTTGCTACAAAAAAAGTGGTAATCCTATTTCTAAAAAGTTTGCCCATTACGAAAAACTTAAAGGTCGTGCGTTGGCTAATAAATATCGTTCTCACTAATTCCTTTTCGATTGTGGATTAAAGCATGAAATGAGAAGTGTTTTGCTTTCACGGAAGCTACAATCGGCGACAAAATTGTTGACAGATTGACTTTTTCAACTTCCTATTACTTCAATTTTGTATTTAAGTGAACATTTTCGTCCCACAACCCCCAGCCCTTCAAAAAAACAAAAACAAAAACACAATAGGGGAACAAAACAGAACAAAACAAAACAATGTTTATCATGATTTCATGAACCTTTAGCGACATACAGGAAACGAATTGCTTGCAGAAGACTGTATTGATTGAAAACTGTCTTAATGAGCCCCCGCCTTTACTATTTTTGGAATATTCAAAACAACTGTGTCTAGGTAAGCCTACCTATGCATAATTTAATTATCTTTGTAGTAACCATGTAACCATAGCCTAGGTAGTCTGGGAGAATAATATTGCAGTTGGGGGTTCTCGTTCATATTCAAAAACGCACAAAATGAGTACAATACGTACACTGTGAATAAATCAGTAGTCAAGCTAACAGTTCCAAAACAAGAAATCCATCAAAAGAATAAATAACGAAAAGCTTGTGGAATCGATGCATAGCCGTAGCATACCTAAGCACTCTAATATGTGCGATCGTATTCACCAACATCCTGTACCAGGTTCTCAGTCAGACTAGACAATCAAAAAGTGGGTGTACCAAGGTTAACTTGCCTTGTCAAGGAAGTCGGTGAGCCTCGCTCACCCGCTATTTCTCTTGTGTTCCATGAACAATGGCTTAAAAAAGCCTACTTTAACCGATTAGAAAGATAAAAACTCCACGAGGAGGTAAAGAAAGAGATGTATTATTCATAACAAGAAATGGTACAAACGTAAAAAATAAATTTCCTGTTACATTCAATCTAAAAAATTATTCGTACTTTTATTTGTCCATATTACCAACAATTTCCCTTCAATTACTTGATTAATATTTCTCGAATATGCACTTCCATGGCCATTGCGAAAACCTGATTAAAAATTGATGTTTTGTTTTACCTTCACTGGAATCTCAGCGGGGAAATATTTCCTGTCAGTAAGAAAATTATAATGAGGCCGATTATAAACTTAAACTATAATTACGTAACATGCTTTTGCTCGGTTTGGAGTAAGGAAGAGACAAGATGAATGCTCAAAGGCTCCTACTTTTATTTAAGGTGAGAAGGCTGACGTTTGAATGTTTTCCTGTTTAGACTGTTACCTTGGGAGATAAACGTATGTTTTAACCTACAGAAAGAAAAATTCCTCAAATCTTGATTGCGGTAACTAGAAGAGGTTTAGGATACTCTAAAATTAGAAACAGGGTTTTTCTTTTCGAGATTAGGATATTCAATGAACTTTGCGCGAAATAAGTTACTTATGCTCCTAAAGCCTATGTAGACGTATTTTTCTTGCCTGGTATCAATCGCCTTTATTCAAAGGAAGTTTTATGTTACAACGAAATTATATCGTGAGCATTTGCCATTACAATTGTTTTTTACTGGAACAATCGTCGTAGAATTACATACAGGGTTTCCACGCTTTATAAAGCATTACTAATACGCTACTGACAAAATTTCATTATTGCAATCTGTCGATATGGAGATTGCAATCTGTCGATATGGAGAAAAGAGCTTTTACAATTAACTTCTCGAAGCATAATAATCCTCGTAGGATGGTCGAGCGTTCAAGCTCCAGATCAGACAAACACTCAGGATCGTAAATACAACTGGGGAGAATGCGCCACTTTTGCTATGACATCGGAAAATAGTTAGACATTCTAGTCTTCTCGGATGAGTATGATAAACCGTAGGCTCCGTCTTTAGCATTTCCTCTGTACTGGCTATCAGGAACGTTAAAGAACTCCCTTTGGAAGGGTAGGGAACGTAGCTACCGGTGTTGTGGCTTAGCCTTATCATTGTTTATACAGCCCCCCATTAAAATTAACTTTTAGCCAAACTGGGCCAGCATGTATGAATATCTCAGTAACAAATATATACGTATAAAAGCATTTTAAGAGCAAGGTTTTGTACGGACAGGTGGTTATGATGACTTTAAATCGGCTTGATGGAATAACTTACTTATTTTACATTAAAAGTGGAGTTTTTCAATAAGTGTTCTCCCTGAAAGATAAACAGAGGTTATCAACGTTTCTGTGTGTTAAATTGCAAAGATAGTAAAGGTTAGACTTGGTCCTCAAATAAACAAAGTGGTCTTTCGATTGGTCTCGAGCCCCCACTTCCTCACTCCTGTATCAGTCGGTCTGCACACTCTGAGCTCGTCGACCTTTACTGATTCACACTCTGCTTCTCGTTAATTTACTTTGGGGAACAAAAGCAGTTTGACACCTTTTAAGTGTCAAACTGGAGCCACAGTGAACAAAACACAGTGTGACATAGTCCCTTCATTAGAGGCTATTCAGGCAGAGGCCCGCCAAAATATTTGTTTTTGTACAACAATCGAAATGTGAAGATGTGTAACGGCGGAAACTATAATAACCATGTACGAGGAAAAAAGGTTAAGAATAGAACACAAGTAAGAACACACCGAGACAGCATTTTATTTCAAGAATTCAAAGCTACATTTAAATAATTCCTTTAAGAAAAGAACTGTTTGCGGGAGACTGTGTTGATTAAAAACTGTTATTACAAGCCGTTTATGAACCCCCGCTATCGCTATTGTCGGTAGATGCAAAGTAACTGTCTCTAAGAAGAAGTATATATTTATAGTGTATTAACCTTAGCAGAAACCACAATGCAATATTTTGTTTAACCTGGAGGCTCCTGTTTAAAGCTAAAATTTCGCGATCTTAATACGTAATTTGTCTAATATTCCCCCAAAATAGATAATACTCTTTTTGGTCTTCTGGAATCAGTTCTTTATTCGAATATAAGCGTAATAAAATATTTACGCAGTCTTCCTACTTCAATTACGTTACTAATATTTCTAAACATGCTTTTTCGTGGCCATTGCGAAATTGATTATAAAACTGGTTAATCGTTTTTTTCTAAAATGCAATCTCAGCGGGGAAATGAAACCTTTCGGTAAAAATTAAAATTAGGAGAGTTATGTAATCAATATCAACATAACAAAACTGCCTTCGCTCTGTTCCGGATGAAATAGCGACAAAATGAAACTTCAAAGGCCTTTAATTTTGCTACAGGTGAGCCTGCCGGCCTTTAAATATGTTTTCTTTGTACTTCTGCCATATTGAGGGATAAAACTATCTTTTAACCTTCAAAAACTATATCCTTCCGCATATAGGTTCAAGTCTTGATCGTGGTAATTAGCAGAGGCTTAGCGAGTGGAGGTATGTTTTACTTGTGGGATTTTGTACCTAAGGAAACTTTGATGTCTCAGTGAAGAAAGTAGTTTACAGGGTGTTCTCGAGGTCGAGAAGATACCTGGCTAAAATACGTATAAACCTCGCGCAGAGCTTGTTACGCAAGCTCTTAAGGCCATGAAAACGTAATTAAACGCAAGTATTTCATCTGCGAGTTAATCCATACATCGTCGAGTCTCAGGCACTGAGATTTAAAGACTCGAAAATCTTCCCCATTTTCTTTAAATTGTTCTAGAAATCACACTCTGAATCATGCAATAACTTTGAAATGGTTATGAATTTTGCTGAGAAACACAAAACGTGTGACGTAAAGACATGTTTATCGACCAGTGAGAGTGCGAAAGCGATATCGAATATTTTTCAAACAAATGAATTTAATTTCTCTATTCTTTACTGCTGTTTTTCTCTTATTCAGCAATTTCTTCTCTTTTTCACCCTATTGAACGGTTAAGGGTATCAGTAGAAAATTTTTGACAAAACAGAATATCCCTCGGCTAAAGAATTCTTTTTAAGATGCTCAGCCTAAACCTAACTTGGTGTTAACAACAGACAGTTGTATTTGTTTTTGTGGCGATATTTTTCCCAATAGGTTTGAGTGAATCAATTGCAAAGAAAACATGAGCGCCAAAATGAGTTACTTTTCCGAGAAAACATCAAGATGTGAAATGGGGAATGGAGATAGCAGCCCTTTTGGCCTCTTAATTATTCCGCGCACCATATTAACCCATTGGCAAGCATGAAAATAATGTCTTCAAGCGAGAAATGAATTAATGGTTCTAAAATAGATTTCTCACAGTTTTTGTATTGTAATTCCTTAATTTTTATAAGCTAGAGAATTCTGTGCTTAGACATGTCGTGCATATTATGTTAAGAATAAAGGCAAAGATTGACTGAAATATGCAAATTTTTTGAACGCAGAAGCCTTTGATAACTGCTTCAGTAATGCTGTTGGAGTTTCCGATTCAAGTATCATCCTTGACGGCTTCCTGAGGGCATCAAGTCATTATCAAAGAAACGGTTACATAGCCCTACCATCGTATGGACGTCTGAACGGTACCAGAGGCGATGGATGGTGCGCCGAAAAAAATGATGATAATCAGTGGCTTCAAGTCGATCTCGGGAAAATTATTGAAGTTTGCGCTGTTGCAACCCAAGGAGACATCAGTGGCAATCAAAGGGTGATAGACTTTAAACTAGCGCTGTCTAAATCCTATGAGGAAGTATGGCCAGCTTATAAGGATGCTAACGACTTAGAAGTGGTACGATTTGCGCCAAAATATTGTTTTACCCCGGAAAATTGATCATTTTATGATGGTGTCCAATAAGATCTTAAAGTACACAGTTTGAACCCAGGATTAACTCTAAATGAATATGAAAGCGATATTCGCAGTAATGAATGCTACTTTAGCAGTTGTCAAAATAAGGCCCGAAAAAATAAGATTCAGGACGTTACGGGATGACCTTTGCGATACCGATGCAATGCGCTACCAACTGAGCAAACAACCGGGTTAGTTACGTTAGTTACATTAATAACGGTGAGAGCATTTGATATTTTAACCCGCTCCTTGTCTACGACTAAGTTCGTCTTTGTCTTCAATTTAGACAACAAACTACGTCGCCTATCATCGGTGTGTAGGTAACGGAAGTTGTTTGGCTGTAGGATTCACGAGAGTCGCAGACCTACTTTATTGTTCGGTTTATGTACTGAACTTATAGGAATTGTTTTGCCGTTCGTCGTTATACAAGCAGATTGGGAGAGGGGTGTTTCGTCGGAAGAAGTCGTTTCGTAATTTTTCTTGGAGTGAGACGGTTTTGTTTTCTTCTGATAAACTGTCTGGTGTGTTACTTATTATTACATGTTAGAATCCAGATAGTGGTAACTTTGTGAGATGTCGGTCCCTTGTTCAGTTAGAGCGATAAATGTATTGCCAACGTAACATAATCAAAACTGCATCGTCTGTTAGTAGGTCGAAAGGATACGATCATCAATGTACTGCTTCTCAATTTCGACAACAACATGGGAAAAATGGGGGTCCATAGATGTTCCATATAGCTGTCTGAAATTTTTATCGTCATCAAAATCGTGTTTTTAAGTAAAAAGGATTTTCCAAAATATGTTACTTCATCAGATTTTCTCGTTTTGTTAGAAATTTCGCAGGGAAGGTGGATCCAACACAATTAACCAACATCCATTGGGAGTTCCAGTTTATGCAAGATACATTCGTTTTCTTCCAGTTACTTGGGAAGCTCTTATCTGTCTCAGAGTTGAGGTTTATGGATCCGTTAGTAAGTTTGCTATCTATAAATGAGCTTACAATAAAGAAAAGGATGGTAGAACTTTTTTTTTTCCGGCCTAATCATGGTGGCAATTAATTACGCGTAAAATGTGTGGAAACTTTAAACGTTAAAACGTAAACGAATCAGATGTAATTCATATCGTGTGGTGCCACTGGGGTTTGTGCCAAAAGGCTATGATTTATATGCTTCTTTTGGTAACTGCATCAAGAAGTATTTTGAAAACTCAGTTGTTATTTCCGGAGAAACTGAGTGAGAGTTGAGGGTAAAAATTCAAATTTAATTAAATGACTTTTGAGGTGGGGTTGTTCTTGAAGTGGAAATTGAACTTATAACTGAGGTCGTCGAGATTTTTCGATTTTGCTTGCAAATAATTTAGAAACTTTCCTGACTTCTCGGTAAGTTCATTGCTGTTCTATTCATTAACCCTATGACTCCTTTTTCTCTCATAAACCGAACGCACTATCACACCTACTGGAAAGAGCTTTCCGTATTCAATGCTTGTTACATAAGTTTTCATTGATTCGGTAAAAACTTGGTGTAGATGTTGTCAATATGATGTAATGAAACAGAATAAAACCGTGGAGTGTAAGAATACTTGACAAACGAAAAATTAGGGCACGCTGTAAATTGACTTGAAGTAGCTATTGCAATAAAAAGATGATATTTGTGTTTAACAAATTAGTGCCTCTTCTCAATGGGATCACAATCAAGCTGCTCACAATGGAAGACTTCACTTTAAACAATCAGGTTACAAAGCAGGGGCTTGGGTGGCTCGCATAAATGATGAAAACCAGTGGCTCCAGATAGCGCTGATTAATCCAAACGTTAAAATAACTAAGGTTGCAACGCAAGGACGA